GGGGTTCTGTTAAGATTTTTTATTACATGAATAATCTTTGGACTTTACTTACTTCCTCTTTCTCAGGTTTCACTCTTGAGTCACAGGCACAGCGCATCCGCTGCAGTTAATGTTTAATAACAGCTAATCTTATGCTAACAGACCACAAGCCTCATTATTGTAACGCTAGTTTTGTTCTCTTGTGTCTCTCAGGGAGCGGCCTAATGTAACCCAACAAGGTTTCACTGCCTCAGTGTCCGTACGATGACCAAATGTTAATAAGTAGAAAGTCCTACATAGTAAATGTGCAAATAATCTTTTTCCAACAAAATTTGTGCATATATAAAAGTTATGCTAACTGGGAAGTAATGCCATGGATATGGGAATTGTCATGTCAACATCTTAGTCAGATGATGTTAAATCACGTTAAGTGAATATTTTTCCTTTAACATAACTGGACCTACACACCTAGACTTCTGTTCAGTTATGCAATCTATTGAGACACAGTTTGACTATGAATCGACCATCAGAGACCTGAAAAGAAACAAGTGACATGACTGTCATTTTAAATTATGCAGCATTTTCCAGTTATTATTTTGTGGCATTAGAAAGAAACAATGTTGAAGACTTCCTAGCATCCTGCTGACTTTAACCACAAAAAACCCTAACTGAGCATATTTGGTAAATGAGGTTACAGAGAACATATAAAAGCTTTAATTGACTTTAATTAAACATTACCACTAAAATGTTTATCGCTAAACTGAGAGAAACAACAGACGTAGGCAAACTTCTCGTTGCTGTTTCACAATAAAAGCCTCGTTAAAGTAGCAGGAAGTAGTTGATAGCTGGTTAGTCATAGTGCAGAAACAATTAACTGATTTGTTCATTTAAAAAAAAAAAAAGTGACGAGTCACTGCTTTTCTCTGTATTACGTTCATAAACTGAACCCCTTGTTGTTCAGGACTGTGTCAGGAAAAACAAGAAATATGACGACTTCGTTTTGGAATTTGGGAAGTTGTGATGACTTTTTTGTCAGCAAAAAAAAAGTACATATTAAAGTTACCAATTTCTTACCCACAGGATTCTCTGAAACTATCGTGGGTTGACGGAAGAAAACTTTGCACATTTTAAAGCTAAAATGCAATCTGGTGCACTTTGAGAGCAAAATTAAGAGGCTATAGAAGTATGAAGAACTTTGTGCTCTGATAGACAATTGTGTGCTCTCCCGCTGGGAGCCAACACCGACACCCCGGTGCTGGTGGACCAGGACGTATTGCTGGAGAAAAGGGAGGCACGGGAGAACCAGAACCAGGACTAAGAACAGACCCTGCTGCAGTAAAATGAGAGGTTTTCTAAAGGGAGTCTGGTACACAGAACCACTACCACTTTAGTCCACAGGGACCAACAAAACCAACACAGACTTCCTTTAAGTTATGAGTTAATAATCATCTATTTCAGGGCTTGTAGCTTTGGTTAAAAACAAGTCGTCTCCACATTTGGATATATTCCACCTTTCTGTGAGGTGAAGAGCCTCTTACCTTAAACCTTAAACCTTAAACCAAGGCTCAGCCAACGCATGAACCCTGCCCTCCACTTCAGCCTCCAGCTAAGCCAAAGAAACCCCCTACTGTACACAAATACACATTCTCATTACGTCCGACAAGAAACACACAAAACAGGGCATAACAAGGCCAAACATTATGCTAATTTTACACAACAATGTCCTGTACTGTGCTGTCCCTGACATTATAAACGGGTCTGACAG